TGCATGTAAGGTAGAATAGAATGGTTTTGAGAACTGAGAAGATTGACAAGTCTCGACGGTTGAACCTCATCCGCATTTTATTCGTATCACTTTCAAAAATGATGGTTTTGGGTATAGGGTCTTTTCTAATTAAGAATCACTGGATGTCAAGTATAAGGCGGTGATTATGGATAGAATGGTCAAAAGAATATTTTTTTTATTGATTAGCATTATACAGTTTCCTGTATTTTCTGTTATTTCATTTTCTAGTATCAGACTCCAGTTGCATATAAATGTAATGCTGCTTATAATGAAATACAGTATTTTCCAGATTCATATACTGCTATTCCTGCCCTAGTTTATTATGGTATCAGAGCAGTAGGTGCTTGACAGCAAGATCTTGCTGCAATAGTTGATCGTGACAGCAAGTTTTTGCTGCAGACAATTTACTTCTCATGGCTTTTGAAGACACAACCACAAAGGCCAATCCTAAGGCGACAGGGGGAGCAAGGGAAATTTTGAAATCAGGCGACCCTGACTCTCCATGTTACTAGCACCCAAGTGATGATCCTGAAAGGATTTTGGTAACATCCCCTTTAACAGGGGAGAATTATCACACATGGAAGAGAGCACTACAAAACGCTCTCTATGCAAAGAACAAGATGGGTTTTGTTGATGGGACATTAAGAAAGCCATAAATAGACTCACCAAATTATGCAGCATGGAAGAAGTGTAATTCAATGGTACTGTCTTGGATTCTAAACACAATTTCAAAAGAACTGCATGATAGTGTTGTTTATGCCGACAGTGCAAGGGAGGTTTGGAATGATCTGCAGGAGCAATTTTCTCAAGGAAACATCACAACAGTGCATGAATTAAAGCTTGAATTGGCCACCATGGTTCAATAAGACAGATCAGTTGCTGTATACTTCACCAAATTGAAACCAATTTGGGATAAATTACAAGCATATGAACCTACTCCAGTGTGTATATGTGGGTGTACTTGTGGGGCAGCGAAAGAGTACACAAAGGCACATGAAACAGAGAAGGTCCATCAATTTGTAATGGGTTTGAATGATAACTTTTCCACCATACGTTCACAAATCTTGAATTTAGAACCATTACCTTCTTTGAACAAGGTATATGCAATGACAATATATTTTAAAAGTAAAATTTTCTCATAAATTTAAAACTTAATTAAAGAAAATTTTGAAAAATAACTTTTAAAATTATTTTCAAGTAAGTTTAGATAAAATTTACAAATGTTGGTTTCATAGGTTGCTTCTAGCCGGGAAACAAGATTTTCAATGGGTTCAATTAACTTGTCCTTTCATGGTGGACAAGAGTCCAGAATAAGTAATTTTCTTATGAGAAATATAATTTTATTGATATACAAAAATTATTATAGTTAGAGGATTAATTTGAATAGAGTAATATATTAAAAGTATTACTTTCCTAATATGTGAAAAAAATAAAATTAAATAATTTAATATCTATATAAATATTATAATTAAACTTAAATTAAGATTTAGTAATTAAATAACATTTCAATATAATCCATTTAAATAAGAAGAATTGATTGGGGTAAAAAAATTTAGATAAAACCTTATTTCTAGCCATACCTTAAATAACTGAAATAAATACAATAAGGTATCAAGTTTAACTAATATTACATTTAAATTATCATTATCTTTTAATAAAAAAGAATTTAATAAAAATATTGAAAAATTAAAGTAAAATTCCTCATAAAAAGAGAAAACCCTCTATAAAAGAAGAAAAAACCTCAAAAAAAATTTCACCTTTAATCATTTATCCTAACTATCAAATCATATAAATAACAACGGTTAAAAAAATGATTTATCTAATTTATGTTTTAAGATATAGGTTAAGAGTTTAATAAATATATTTTTAATTAATTTATATAAAAAAATTATAAAAATTAACATTTATTTTAATATTATTATAATTAAATTAATTAATTAATTTAATTAATAATATATTTTTATTTTTAATAAAAATTAATTATAAAAATATATTAATTATATCCTTAATCTAAATCCTATAAACACATTTAAAAAAAAAAAAAAAAGGAGGAGAAAATCAGAGTACGATGTCCGTCAAAAGGAACTTCGTTTGAGTCGGTAATTGTCAACAAGTCAATAGTCATCCATTTTTCTAACTTGAGCGTGTTCCAATCCAACTTTCACACAGACGGTGATCTGCGCAGCCAAATTTGCGCTGCGAATGCGCGCATGCCACGTAGTCCACTTATTTGATTTTTCTGTTGATTTATATATTTTTTAAAAAAATTTTAATAATAATGTATTTATTTTGACAATACCACAATTATAATATTAAATAACATCTTAAATTTATAATCAATGATGATATGTTTCTGAATAAGAAATAAATTTAAAATTATAATATTATATCAAGTAACTAAATAAATAGTAGAATATTATAAATAAATTTTAAATAAAAATAATTTACAAATAATATGTAGTGATAATAAATTTATAATGTGACATAATATATAATATTAAATTTTTATTATAAAATGTAAATCAGTGAATTACGTGAATTTACAGTGCAATTCGGTGCCTCTGGATTCGCTTCGGATATCAATTTCCTTTTCCCAAACTCAGTTCCAACCATGCTGTTGGGCAAAAACGGTATTTTAGCCCAATACTTTTTTAGTTTATTTTTCTATAAATATTCTTTGAGTTTATTGAAATATGCTCTTACTTATTTTTATAATATTTTTAAGGTTAAACCCATTTTGATTCCTCAACTATTGTATAAATTTTCAGTTGAGTCCCTCAACTCAAAAAATCTCTAATTTGGTCTAGGAACGGTAATTTACCCCGATCCCCATGGGGTCCGCAGGGATCCCAACCACAAGGACAAAGCGGGGAGGAATATTCCTCCCCGAGGGGTTGGCATGGGGGCATTTTCCTCTTACAAAATTTCGTGGAGAGTTTTCCCTGTTCCGTGGGGATTCCATCCCCACGAAAAATTTAAAAAATATTTAAATTAATTTTATTTTAAATTTAATTTAACTTTCAAATCCAAACCCAATTCAATAAAATTAAGTTTTATCCAATCCAACCCAAACCTTCTAACCCTAACCTAATTCATTTCTCCTCATTCACTCTCAGATTCTCACAATCTCACTTTCTTTGACCTTCCCCCCTCATTGCCACTGCCACCCTTCTAGGCTTCACTCTCGGATTCTCAATTCTCACCTTCTTCGACCTTCCCCTCTTGTTGTCACCCTTCTAGGCTTCTTCCCTTCTCATGAATCTCACCCTTTTGCCTTCACTTTCACCTTTGCCTTTCTCCCAACCTAGAAATGCTAAATCCCTTCATTGCTGCTATTAATCTACTACTGGACTGGAGCTGCTGTCAAAGCCACACTACTGCTAGAGGTTGGATTGATTTTTTCTTATGTTTGGAACAAATATATTGCTTTATGTTGGATTAATCTCTATTTATGTTTGGAACAAGTTTGTGGATTTAAGTATTTATGTTGAACTAATCTTTATTTATTTATGTTTGATGTAAAAAATTATATTTTGATATTAATTGGTGGGAAATGAAGATAGGTAGCAAAATTTGCCCCCCGTAAAAAATCCTCATGGGGATGGGGAAAAGGACTGCGAAAGACTCCTTGGCCTCGCGGAGCTCTGTTGACATCCCTAATTTAGTCTTTATTTTTCCATTTTGACACCAAGTTGATCCTTTCATTAAATTTTTTTTGACATGGCATGTTAGCTAATGGCAAAAGCATGTTTTTTCAATAAATAAAATATGTAAAATTTACTACCTGGCAAAATACATGACTTGGCAAAATAAATTGTCTAAGTAATCCCTAAACATAATAAATGACCATATTACCCTTATCTTTAACCTCTAAATCCTTTCATTTTCTCTCTCATTTCCCCGACACCAAATCTAGGTTTGGTGAACCCAAAGAAATCAATTATAGAAATTCCCTTTTTCCCTTTCTCTTTCCTCTTCCTTTCCTTTGCCTTCTACAAACCCTTGTACTTTTCTCAATTGCCTAAGATCCCCAAGGTGAAGCAAGGAAGTAGAGTCAAAAACTTCGAACCTAGCATGCCTGGGTTCTTTCAAATGTAGGAGTAAAAAATAAAAAAATGTTGTCTATTTTTTGTGGGTTTTGTTGTTTGATGATGATGATGAATTGATTAATGAAGAAGCCAAGGCAAGGAAGAGGAAGGAGAAAGGGAAAAAGGAGGAAAAAAGAGAATTTTTTAAGTTTTTATTACTATATTATTATTTTTTGCCATGTTGTCTTCCCATGTGTATTTAAAATTTTGACATGTTATCATGCTCCTATTAGTTAACTAGACAAATCACTAGATTTTTAACAATAAGGACTAAATCAAATATTTTTTTGAGTTGAGGCACTCCATTAGGAGTCCATACAATAATTGAGGGACTAAAGTGGGTTTAATTTTTTTAGTTTATGTATTTTTATTTTTATTTTATTTTTTTTAACATGAGTAATTATGGGAGAGTGTGAAATTTTTAAGGTATTAATGAAAATTAAAGGTCAATTAAATTCAAACACTTAAATTTGATAGTAAATTATTGAGTCTAAAGGCCAATTCATGTTTTTTTATACTAAAATAAATTTATTTATATATTTTTTATCAAAATAAATAATTTTAAATTTAACAAATGACGTTATATTACGTGATCTTTTGTCAAATCAATTGTATACAGTTAAGATGTGGAAGATTTGGTATTCGCAAGCTCATTTTTGTGACGTGGCTATACTATACATTTTTTTTTTCCAGCTAGACATCGTTCAATGACATGGCAAAACAATTGTGACTTGGATTATTTGTTAAATGACAAAAATAACTGATTTTTTTTTCTGTCTTTGAATTGAGACATGGGTTTTAATTTTTTTAGATGTGCAATCAGGGACAAATATGCGCACCCATTTTGGACCAAAACTTAAGAAGCAGCTGCTGCTTTCCCTTTCCCCACTTGATAACTCTATTATACTACTACTAGTATCATCATCATTCTTCCTTTCATGAATTAATTATTAATCCAATGACAAATCAAATCAAATCTACCGCAACTTCTTAATACCAAATCACTACCCAACTCTTGATGGCTCCATTTGTTAAAGAAAAGGAAAAGGACTAGGATGGTCCCCAACCTCAAGCTCAATTACTACTTAATTAATCAAAGGCTGCAGCAATCACATTCAGGTATCCCTCCTCCACATGCCCTAATTATCGTATTAAATAGAATAAATTAGCAACTTGACAACTACTTAAGGTTTTGTAAAATTTTAAAACTCTAGAACAAAATTAAGTTATTTTGTACAGTAATTAAATTTGAAATTTTTGGTATTTGTTTTAAAATTTTATATTTAATAAGTTTGTAATTTTAATTTTAATTTTTAATCATTTAAATTTTAAAAACTAAAATTAAAAGTAAAAAACTACAATCATATTAAATAAAGTCTAAATTAATCACCCAAGTATAGATA